TCCAGGCACGCAGAGAGGCCGGTGAGGGCACCCCAGATCTGCCCAGCTCCTCTTCTGCAGACCTATGTCCAGGCGCGGCAGCTAAACAGGCTGGGCTACGCTGATAGTGTGGGCCCGCCCATCCGTCGGCAGCTCAGCAGGTCTCCAAGTGGAGCCGGAATGGGGAGGCTGATGTGATAGCCTCGAACCCACCTCGCCCCTTTGCTGCACCTGGAAGCCTGGGGGAACTCCAGCAGTCTGGGCGGAGATATCCAGAGTCCTCCAGACACGCAGAGAGGCCGGTGAGGGCACCCCAGATCTGCCCAGCTCCTCCTCTGCAGACCTATCTGCTCCTCCTCTTCTTCCTTTTGCTCTTCCTCCTCTTCTCCTCTCCTCCTCCTCCTCCTTTTTCATCTTCCTGTTCTCTTTTTCTGCTCCTCCTCCTTCCTTTTCTTCCACTAATGTCATCGTGGAGAACCACCATCATGACCTCATCTCATCCCACTCTCTCAGGAATAGTTAGAAAAACTAGGTCAAAACCACAAGGGGGTGAATTGAGCAACACCATCTGCCACGCTGATCTACTTGACATTTTCAGTGTGAGGGTTCCAATTGGAGGAAAGGCTATTCATTGCTTTATCAGGACAGATTATATGCCAGGTCATAAAATGAAACTAAATAAATTTAGAAGAATTTAAGTTATATGGAACATTGCCTTGCAGATGTGGTGGCGCACACCTGTAATCCCAGAATTCTGGGTGACAGAGGCAGGAGGCTCACAAGTTCCGGCTCTGCTTGGGCATTTTAGTGGGTCTTTGTCTCAAAAAATTAAAAAGGGTTTAAAATTTAGCTCAGTCTGAGAGGTCTACATTCAATCTTCAGCACTGAAGAAAAAGAAGCAAAAAAGAAGGGACAAATTTCCTGTTCACTATGAACTAAATCAGAAATCAATAAAAATAAGATAGCTAAGAAAAAACAAATAATACACTTTGAAACAATTCATAGGTCAAAGAGTAATTCACAATGAAATTTATAAGATTTTTCGAACTGAATGATAAAATTTAGTAATTGTTATCCTAATAATAGTTACTATTACTAATTACTAATTTACTGATAAGTAATAATAATCATCAATCTGATAACATTGCTAATATTAGCAAATGTGATCCAAAGTATATGAAAAGGATATACCATTCCCTGACCAAATAGAGTTATCACAGCTTAACATTGGAAAGTCAGTTTAATCCAACAGACCAAAAGGGGAAAAAAGAAAAAACTTAATCAACACAGAACAAAAATGGGACAAAAGCAGAAAGCTATTTACATTAAAACTCTCAGGGTCAATGTAAGAGATTGTCCATCTGATAAAGAGCACCTATGATAAATCTTTCGGTGACATCATACCTAGTGAAAGAAAACTAGAAACTTTTGTTCTAATCTAAGGAAAAGTCATGTACTCATTAAGTTCATAATTTTTCTGGAGACTCCAGACATTCCAATATGGAATAAATAAATAAAGGATAAAATAGATAAATATCATGCAGATAACATAGTCATTTACATAAACTATAACTAATTACTAAAAATATATTAGCAAGGTTACAAGGTCAAAGATTAATGTAAAAAACTGTCACAGCAAATAATTAATAATTGAAATAAAATTAAAATATGATACCAAACCAGGCCTGGTGGTACATACCTGAAGTCCCAGAATTCTGGGAGGTTGGAGAAGGAACACAAGTTCAAGCCTGGTCTGGGCAAACTTAAAATAAATAAATAAATGAACAAGTAAACTTTAAAAAGATCTGAGGATATATCTGAGGATAAAGGTTCTGGATTCAGCCCTTAGACTGAACCCCCAAAATCCTTTCATGTATAATATTATCAGAAAACCTGACATATTTAAGAATAACTTTAACAAAAGACATGTAAAACTCCATGCTGAAAACTAATTTTTTTAAAAAAAAATCTAAGGGAATTAAAGGAGAACTAGCTAGATGGAGATATATTTCAGTTTCATGAATTCGAAATTTTCTTTTAAAGCTATAGAAGCCGTAATCATATGTCATCTGCCTACGCATCCATGGACAGCGCAGTGGAACAGAATACAATTCAATATAGATACACATTTATCCAGTCAGTTAATTTTTAACAAAGATATCAAAACAATCCAACTGGAAAAGACAATTTGCTCAACAAACAGTGGTAAAACCACTGGATATTGTCAACTGAAGAAAAGAGCACTCTCCCAGAAGGCTCTCACATGGCAAACTGGGGGAAAATTCAAAATGGAGTCCATAAACGCCATTTGCTAGTTGTGGGAGTTACACAAGAACAGTTTGTTTCTGGAAAAAGCACACACTGAGGGCCCTGACCTTGCTATTTCAGCCGATAAGATAGAGCCCTAGGATTTCGCTTTGCTGTCCAAACTTGACCAGAGAAATCTCACCTACAGTCACATTTCAGTGTCAACCAATTGAGACTGGGAACGGTTGTGTCCTCCACTTACATAAACTCAGTCCGTCCAGACTGGGTGCATTCGCACCCCTCACTTGCCTAGGTGGACTGGCCTGGGAATGGGGACAGGAACTTTCTCCAGGAAGATAGCCCGCCCTTTGCTCCTTCCAAGGACACGTCTCCTTTTGTACCAAGGACTGTGACTCTCCAATGTGCAAACTGTTTCTTGTTCCTTTTTTTTTTTTTAAGCCACTTGCCTTGAATTTTTTCTGATAAATTTTGTTGACAATAACTGTAAAGGGAAAAAAATTTAACCACATTTTGTCTTACACCATACATTTATTTTTTATTTCATTTTTTATTTTAAAGAGGATAAAACCAAGGGGAAAAAATGGAATAAAACCAATCAAAATAAACTAGTATAAGTGACACAGGACTTCAAAATCTTACTAGAGCAGCAATTGTTACTATAATGTCTTTTGTTGTCTTCAAAATAGCTGCAGATACCTTCAGACACAGTAAAAATCGAACAGAACAGAATAGAGCACAAACACTGAAAACAGAACAGTGAATGCATTAAAGGACTCCAAAATAAGCTAATCGTAAATCCAAAAAGGCTACCGAAATATGTCCTGCTACCTTTTAAATAGCTGCTCCTGCCATCAGATTTAGCATAATCAAACAAAACAAAAGAAAATGAAATCCAGCTCAAGAAAACAATGCAAATGATATGGTTTACAAGCGGGATCACTTTCTGGTTAGGACTGGTTGTCCCCCACCACCACCCCAGTCCACAAAAGGCACCGACTCAGGGAGAGAGGCTTGGGTGTGGCTGTCCCCACTCCAGCAGCAGACCACGCCTGGTGCTGGTTTCCAGGTAGACCTCACCTCCTTTTCTCCCTCTGCAGTTCATTAATGGCCTGCACCATACACTTAAAAGGCCAGTTTGAAATGGACTATGAAACTTTGGGATCATCTTCACGATTTTGGGGAGATCATCTTCATGATCTATTAAAAAATACTTTCTTAGACTAAACAGACCAATAATAAAAGATAAGACTGGTAAGTTAGACTTCATCAAAATGTATATCTTCTCAGCAAAAGACATTTTGGGGAAAATGAACCACAAAGTAGTTTTAAATAGTCACAAAATATGTACTTGATAAAAAAAAACTAGTACCCAGAATACTGAAAGAACTCCAAACTAGTAAAGGAAAGTCTAATAAAAAGAGCAAATGCAAACAAAACAAAAGCTATGATCAAAATATTAAAGTCACATAAGGTAAAGTTTGAATCACAAGTGTTGAAAGAGATGAAGTATCTTTAACAATATGAACATCATACCTATGTGGCAAAGAAATGCCAGCTCTAATACGCTGGCCAATCTCTCAAAAACTAAAGGATCAACTAGACAAAAAAATGAGGAAGGGTGTAGAACTCATCATAAACTGATATAATCTTGCATCCAACAAACAAAAAACACATAGAACAGTTATGAAGCTTGGTCACACATTTGGCTACAAAGAAAGTTCCAACAAATTCCAAATAACCAGCATCATACACACTACAATCCCTCTTCATGACCCAATAAAATTAAGGATCAACAAAAATACAGTTAGCTAAAATCACTGCCTGTTTGAAAGCTAAAGTCTTACTTTTTAGCAATCAATAGATTAGAAAATCATAATGGAATTATAATTTTCCAGTGAAGCAAAAACAAAACTACTACCTATCAAAAATTGTGAACCACAGGGAAAATAATACTTGTAGGAAGACCTACAGTTAGTAGAAATCAAGAAAGGCTGGAAACCATGAGGTTGAACAAAATAAGGAGTCAAGGAGATGTAATTAATTAAGTGCAAATACCTATGGTGAGGGTGGAAAATAGAGATGATTCATAAAATCAAAGGTTCTTTCAAAACACAAATAGGAATTTTAAAAATCTCTGATAAGACTGATCTATTAAAAAAGAAGATATCACAAACCAAGTCTGTATATTAGAAAGGGAAGCAACCATAGGTACTGAGGAAATGTCTGTAATGAAGAAAGATATTATGAAAAACTTTATATCAGAATCTTGGAAAACACAAAGCTGAGAAAGAGGATAAACTTTCCAAACTGATACAAGTTATGAGAAATTTGAATAAACTAATAATAATTAAGAAAATGAAATGGTGGTCTACAACTACTCTGACTTTTTAAAGGTGTATTTTTATCAAGTCACCAGAGCACAGATAATTTCCATTTTTACAAGTTTTTTTACATGATAGGAGGCATTATCTAGAAAGTAGAAAGTAAGTATAGTTGTTTATCTTTGAGTCAAATATGAACACACCTAATCCATGGTTCTGGTGCTTTCTGAGCTAGTTCTGGAAGTCCTCTTTCTTCATTGTCTTTAAGAGGCATCATAAAAAAGGTGAGTGCTTCTGCTGAGAACTGTCCCATGGAAAGGCAGGGTCCTAAAAACATAACAGGAGATCCTCGCCCTCGTTCCCAGCTCTGGAACTATATGACTTCTAGATCTTCCCCAAGGACAAAGACGTAAAAGTTCAATGTTTTTCCAGGCTTGGAGGCACATGCCTGTAATAGCAGCACGCAAGAGGCTAAGGCAGGAGGATCACTGCAAACTCAAGACCAGCCTGTGCTACGAAGTGAGTTCAAGGCCAGCCTGAACTGCATAAGAAGACTCTGTCTCAAAAAGACAAAAAGAAGAAAGAAAAGAAAAGAAAGCTAAATGTTTTGAATGGATTCAGGACTTCAGGCAGTCACAAGAACAAAACTAAAGACATGAAAGAGAACTTGGAGAGCTGCTGCAGAAAGCGACACTGTATTTGAATTGTGAGGGAGTGTGTTGAGGGGTTAATGCATCTTACACTACAGCAAATTTTTAAAATTGAAATAATCATCGTGTTTTTGATCATACCTTGTATTGTAATCCCAAATATTGAGTTCTGTCATCCAAGTACTGGAATCTTCTTTCTAGTTTTCCTGACACTCCAAAAGGTTATCTTGAGATCCCATTGAGACGTCACTGGAATCCCAGCAAGTTAATTCCAAGCTACCACCACCGAAGCAACCCACGGTGAGAGTAAAAACACCAAGACATATTCCAAGTTAAGGGCAGCCAAGGGGACCAAGTCCAATCCGTGAGAGGACATGCGGACAAAGGCCCTGATCCTAGGCCTCTCCCAGAATTTCTTATCTTATGAAGAAGGGGGGTGGCTCAGGGATGAGAGACGGTGAGTAACTTGAGCTGGCTGGCCAGGTGCAAGAACAGCATCTCTGTAAATTGCAGAGACAAAGATATGCAGAAGGATCAGTTCACATAATCTAATTAAGACAGCAACTGAATTGTTTTGGGAGGCTGTCACTTCGGTTTCTGACATGCAAACTCTTGTGCCCTGGGGAGTCATAGCCTCTTTATCTTGAGGCTCTACCCAGTTGACATTCCCGGAGCTATTGGCTCTAACTCTCTCGGTGCTCATATCCTATACGGACAACACTATGCAAGGAAACAGGACTGTCTGTTGGCTTTAGAGATTACGTACCAGCACCTTGGATAGCTTATTTGCAATGCTTAGAGCCAATTGAAGAGAGAAGGAAGTACCATAGCCAGCTCTGTACATATCAGTATAAGGAAATGAGTCTCCAGACAATCAAAGTCACAGTAATTGTTTTGCATTCAAGCGCAGACACTGGAGTTGTCTCCCACACCTTGTATGATCTGAATAAAAATGAAAACTAGATAGTCTTTATTTAAAACTAGAATTACAAGTCAATTTCACTTATGATTATAGGTATGAAAATACTACAGAAAATATTACTAATTATAATCCAGGAGTATCCTAAAATAACAATCTCTCATGACCAATTTAGTTTATACTGGGAATGCAATGATAGTGATACCTTTAGAATATAATATGAGTATTATTCATCTCATTAATACATTAAAGAGAAAGACTGCATGGACCTCTCAAAAGGTTTTTAAAAATTCAATAGAATTAAAACTCATTTCTAAGAAAACTTACATTACACTATCATAAAGTACATAATATAGGAAGAAATGTTATAACAATAATAATTGATACTTATCAGAGCCTCCTGAATATAGTTTACCAGTAAAACTGTATTTAATAGTAAAAATGTCTATTACGACTACTATTTAGTATAGTTTTGAAACAATACAGAAAAAATAAAAGTGGACAAAATTATAGTTTATATATTATCTACATTTAAAAAACAAAAAAAAATCAGTGGATAACAACAGAATTAGCACAATAGTGAAGAAAGGTGTGAGCACACAAAAGAAAATGACAAAAATCAATACTGTTTCTTTCAATGTGCAACTAGAAATGTACCACTTTAAAGTGTCACCATTGGGAAACATACATACACAAAACACATAGCAATAAGCCTAACTAAACGTGCACATTTCATGGAGATATTTATAAGACATTATGAGACGTAAAAGAGAAAAACAAGACTAAAAGCATACTAAGTGGTAGAGCCCTGGCCTGGTATGTGTGACACCAAGCTTGGAAACCTTGGGTCCAATCCCCGGTGCTTCAGGATAGGGAAGGAGAGAGGGGAGAGGGAGGAATTTACTCTTCATGTATAGAAAGCTCTGCATTGCCGCCATCTACTCAGTCTCCCCTAAAATAGACCTGGGCACTTAGTGCAATTTTAATAAAAAACAATTGACTTCTTTGATTCATCTTGGAAAACTGGTTATAAAACTCACATGGGGCAATAAAGGAGTTTGGAAAGTTAAATCGATTTAAACACAATCATCAAAGAAAACCTCACCCCACCAGACACGAAGTCCCTTTACAGAGCAGGAGTCATGAGTCGAGTGACACCAAGGAGCAAATGACAAACACGTGGAAGATGAGCGAGCTCAGGGACAGGCTCGGACATTTATCAGAATGTCACACGTGATAAGGAAATCATTGTGATTCCTGGGGAAAAAGGATTGCGAGAGAAAGGAGACAAATTCCAGATGAAAGCCCTTAAGGGTCGGGAAGAAGAGCAGGTCCTGGAAGGAAAGACTGGAACGAGCTAGTTTTCCTGGTTTTTGTTTTTCTTTGTTGTTGTTTGTTTTGTTTTGTTTTGTTTTATGAAAGGAGTACAAAATAGCCCACAGGAAGGGGCCCGCTGCAAGGCAGGGGTGAGTTTACGGGAGGGACGGGTCATGTCTGGGCTGTTTCTGGAGAACATGGGCGAGGGTGAGCTCCAAAGCAGGGCAGAGGAGAGATGAGCAGAGACAGAGGAGTGCAGCAAAGAGAGGCTCTGGATGGCGACACGTTCTGCGCTTTAATTCACCACCATTCCACCTGAATTTTCCTTACCTATTGTGACTTTCCGCATTTTCGGACTGATCGGTGGAAAGCAAGGACTCCATGAGCAGGTGGGGAGGCAGGAACCAACGATGCCGTTTGCCAGGGAAAAGAGAAAAGCAGGAGCTGTCTCCATCCCTTAGTGAACTTGCCATCTGCTGCCACTCCAGGACAAGGACAGTGGTGGGAGGACCGTGACTCCAGCACAGCAGGAGGCCATCTCCCAGAGAAACCATTGCGCTGACCATCACACCTCACAAGCTAACAGCATGTTGGCAACCCGCTGTCACGCTGGTGACTGGCAGATGTGTCCGGTGAGTGGTGAGGAACCTTTACAGGTTTACTCTAATGGAGATCTAGAACGGTACCTGGCTCCCTGGTCCTTCATGTACAGTTCACTGCATGCACTAAACCCAAATCACAGAGTGCTGACTGGGGTCCGTGCAGGTAGCCAGCCTTCACGCCCAAGGGAAGAATCAGCTACAGAGGACAAGGGTTTCTGGACCAAATGGAAAGGGAACCCTGTGGGGGCAGTTGAAGGGGAGCTATGTCACACAGGACGGGCACAAAGAGCAAAGCCAGGCAAAGAGCAGAAGCAAACTCAAGGCTAGCACTCATCCTGAGGGTCAGAAGTTGGAAGGATCATTTCTGTTTTCTTATCTGAAAGGAGAGTTAAGTGGACAACAGGAAGAGGAAGACAGGAATCTGGCAGAAAGCGAGGAGATTGCTCCGGGCTTTGGCTTGGCCAAGGAAGCATGGGCCCGGGCGCACTTCCATCCATCTGGTTGGCTGGGCTGGCCTGGTTGGGCTGAAGAGAGTCTCAGCTTGGAGGGTCACATGTGGTGCCAGAAGAATTGTACTACAGATCAAAACTTGGGATTTGAGGAGCAAAATAAAGAGGAGACAGTGGCTGTCTGGGGTCCAGGAGCAACAACTATAAAACCCGAGCATCTGTTAAGACTCAGAGTTAATCTGGCAGCATCAGCTGTGGTCCCAGGGAGGAAGGGGCGGGGAAAGGGGCTAAGCGCTGCTGGAATCCTCGGTCGGCACCCCTAAACCAAGACTCACGGGTATGTGAGGGACATAATTGCTATCCACAAGGCTGGGTATTTTCTGCTGTGTTCATGCATTTCAGATGCTGTATTTGGGATCTAATGATTGCTTAAAATTTCAAGAAAATGCTCCCAGTCTTTGGAGGTAGATGGCTTCAACCCTACAAAGGAGGCACTGGTGTTCTCACTGGGATTTTCTTTTCTTTAAAAATAATGATGCAAGGCCAGGAGAAAGGATCTCTGGTGAAGCCATTGTGCAAGGCTGTGGGTTCAGTTCTCAGCACCACCAAAAAAATTCTCCTATAAGTAACCAACACATAATATTTGCACTTACTATGGGGTGCAATATGATTGTTCAACACATACGTGCAATGTGTAATGATCAAATCGAAGCCAGCCACAGTCCCACCTCCTTGAACAGTTATCACTTCTGTGTTGGGAAACTCTGGACTCATCTAGTCATTTTGAAATACTGCTATCTTTGTTATAATCACTGCTGGCCGATATTAAAAACCTCCAGGTAAGCGACTGCATACCCAGAAGGAGAATGGCCAAGTGTGGGTGGTAGGTGGCGTGTGTGTTGGTGTGTGTGAGGTGTGCGTCTGGTGGTGCACACCTGTTCAGAGCGTGCCTGGAACAAGCAAGGGCCCTGTGCAGACTGGGATCTAATAGCAAGGGTCCAGCCCTCTCTGCTTGCAGGCACCCGCCCCAGGGCACGTGGGATGTAAACACGGTTGAGCCATTCAGCTGAAACTGGCCAGCAGGCCTCTGACAGGGCTCCAGGTGCCCTGGGTCGCTGTGGACGGAGATCAGACGCGGATCCTTCCCTATGACACACAATCCCGTAGGCTCGTTTTCAGCCAGACAATCAGCCACTGTCTCCACCTGCTAGCTGCTCACTTGCCTGCCCAGGATGATGCCAGACACAGAGCGGGAATCTTGGGTACTTTTCCCGGTGTCGCTGTCTGCTGAGTTCAATGAGGGAGGGTGGCCCAGGCCTGGAGAGATGTCCTTGTGTGACTGGCACTGCTGCCCAAGGCTGCTTTCCACCACACATCAAAGGCAGCCAAGTCCCAGCCTCTTCGCTGAGTCATAGGCACAAGCTAAACAGTCTCAGGTGTCCTTGAAAGTCTCTTTCCTGGGTTTGTTTTTGTATTTATCCCCATAAATAGGTTTCAGTATTTCCCAGGACGCCCAGCTAGGAGCGAGCAGCAATACCATGGATTTTAACAACCAACTGGAAAACAAAACAAAATAAAGGGGAAAAACTAGTCTTTGAAGTCACTGCCACATGCATAACTATCAATGAACAGAAAGCCAAGCCCTGGGAAGGAGGTTTGAGGGAATCAAAAGCCACGGTGCCTTCTGCTTTTAGAACTTCACACAGTCATGGTGAGGGCCAATGGCCACTTGCTTGAGGTTGTCAGCAGAAAATCGAAAGGTTTCCAGTGATCTAGGATATTCTGCGGGTCCTCGCTTGCATCTGGAAACAGATCACAAGGTCCCAAGGCAGGATGGTGGCATGGAATTAATTTTGACTTCAGGGTTAGAGGAAGCCATTCACTCCCAGATATACTCAGGCTGGGCCCGCAGACCTCGTGAGGAGGTGTGTTCAGGCAGTACAATGGCCCTAGCCCCAGTCCTGGGGACATTCTCCTGGGGAGTGCCGGCTGAGTGTAGCCCTCCCTCCACAGTGGAAATGGAAGCTCTCTGCCACCCCCAGCAAGCACTGAAGGAGGACAGCACTGACCTTTCACGACCTTGACTCCTTTCTCCTGCTTTTCCGGCCACACAGAAGGTCCATTGATTTCACCAAGAGATTCCCATCCTGCAGTTTAATTATGCCACTTAGGGCCATTTCTTCCCAATTCTTCCTAACGCAAAGCTAAAGAATCTGTACCGTGGTTTTCCTCAGGCTAATTACATGTGTCCAAGAATCTGGCAGCTTCCTGTTGCCCTAATGACGCACCCAGGGGACATGTTTGTCCACCAGTTGCCAAAGGCACCCAGAGGTCACCAGAATCCTCCAGAGCCCAGAGGACTGCTTCCGCCACTTTGGATGTATATTAAGAACATCAATTCCGGCTGCAGCTATTTGGAGATAGTGCTTTATGAATAAAGACACTGTGATTATTTATAGGGACGGTAAACCAACCTGCAAGGTATAGTCCACATCCTGAGGCCCTGGATGAATGTGGGATATCAAGCTGGAAGGCTTTATTTCCTGTCAAGTATTTAAACTCAAGTCCAACCAACTAGGAACACTACAAATAAACACACAGGGACCTGTTAAAAACATAACTCTGAGCTAAAGTGAGTTTATCCTTCCCCCAGTCAGGTATCAAATGTTGGCTTCAGGATCCAGGGGGGACCTGGTAAACAGTCACTGGGGAGTCTTCTTGCCATTTAATTGGAGTGGTTCCTGAAGCAGATGTCCAAAGTGTGGGGAGATGTGGATGACAGCTCCGGGCCTCCAGCCACTAAGGCTGAAAAAAGAGAAAAAGCCCAGTTAACAAGACAGCGTCACACCAGAACCAATCCGTGAGACTCCAACCCCCTACCCACGGAGCACCTTCCTTAGGCAACTACCTCTGACACAGAAGAAGAACCTTAAAGTACGAAGCCTGCTATTTCCAAGCCATGTTCCAGCAATGCTTAGAAACAGTCTTCTGAAGAAGGTTTGATCTGTTTCCTAAATTGCACTTTCTAGAGTCTAAGGTAGAACCCAGGGGTTTCTCTACCCACCCGCACTATGCCTAAGACCTTCCACCTGTTCATTGCCCTGGGGGACTCTAACACAGACACACACTCACACACACACACACACACACACACACATGCACACACGCACACATGCACACACAATGCTTGCTTCAAAATAGGTGCCACTGGAGGAGGCTGCAGGTAAAAGCAGAGCTTTTGCAGCTGGAGATTTATAGTGTTTATTCCTCCCAGGGAGCTTGTGTCTTTCAGAAGTAAATATACATGGAGACGTACTCAGAAGGAGGGACTGAGAAAGAGAAAGAGACAGAGACCAAGAGACAGAGACAGAGAGATGGGGGGGTGAAGAAAGAAAAAACTGAGTACTTTTGACTGTGGCTTTGAGGCCTGAGGGGATTAAGTCTTACCCTTGATTTTTAGGGACTGCATAATCCCAAATGAGGACCTACCCTAGCTGAAATAACAAAGGAGATATTTAGAAAGACAAAAAATAACAGTTAATCAAAATGTACTCACATCAGTCTACAGTGTAATGTGGTTTCCAGAGGCCCTTTTAAAAATGAAGAAATTGAGAGTACAATTAACAATGGTTTCTTGTAGTCAGGGATTGCAAGGAGAATAATTACACACAGGACACAGAATTTATAATATTATTTTATGATGGTCACCCAGAGGTAAATACAAGAAAATGCAGGAAATCTGTCCACAATACTAAAGACCTAGAAAATCAGCCAAGGACCTGGATCCCACAGCAATGTCCTGCATGAGTTCAGCTGAAGACCCAGAGCCCGTGACGGTGCCTCCCACAAGTCTAACTGGCAGCCTAGAGCCTAGGACTCACGCAAGGCTATTTTATGCATCTGTGCTGGGAAGGCCCAAAGGTCAGCAGTGACAGCTAGAAAGTCTATGCCAGTGGGGTGAAGGATCTGTGCCAGTAGGCTGAGGGTTCTATATTACAGCCAAGAAGCAACCCTCAAAATAAGGACCAGAGCTCCCCTGAAAAGTACCACAGCCATCCTCAGCAACAGGGAGATCTCAAGCTCCTCCAAAAATGAGAACAATTGACTACATGTCAGAAAGCCAGTGTGACAAGCTTCTCCTGGAGATTAAACAGCACACATCTTCCCCTCTGGAGCCAGGGAGCAACGTTCAACAGAAGGACCAGAGCTGCCCCAAAGTGAACTATGGTCACTTCAGTAACAAGGTCTCAAGCTCCTCTGAGGATAATGGCTGAGGTCATATCAGGGGAAACCATGACAAGCTCCTCCAGGAGAACCAACAGCTACAAACAACACCACTTAGAAGAACCCACAATGCCCCACTCTTCCTCGCCAATCTCCTTTTATGCTGGCAACCTTCCTCGGGTGGGTCATCTATACTCAGCACCATGCCAATTTAATTCTGCTGGTGTTAAGTTGACCATCAGTTTTTAATCTATAACATAGATTAAACATTTTTTCTTTAAGGAGGCATAATCCCTTAAGCTTTCTTTTTAGTTGGATATCACTTTAACTCTGTTTAAATTACTTTTTAAGTATGGGTTTAAAGAAAATATAACAATCCTAAGAGCAATGTTCCCAACGGTAGGGCCTCAAAATGCATAAATACAGACAGATCTGGAAAGACAAACAAATGTACAGTTCAAGTTGCACATTCCAACACTTTTCTCTCAGGAATCAAGAAAGAGAAAATCAGCAGTACATAGGAGATATGCAGAGCAGCATCAACCAACCCGAGCTAACTGACGTACACGGGGCTCCACTCAGTGAGAGGAGACTGCGCATTCTTTTTGAGTATACACTGAACATTCACAAAACAGGGACACACCCTAGTTTTTAAAATTTCTTTAAATTTTTTTAAAAAATTTAAATTTGTCAAGTACTGATCTGTGATCATAAAGGAATTGAACTAGAAATCACTATCAGAATGAAGTCTAAAAAAAATCTACTGGCCAAAAAGGCAGTTCCAAGAGAAATTAGAAAACACTTTGCAGTGAATAGGAATAGAAAATGAAATGTACAAATTTTAAGGGTGTTAAAGCAAAGCTAATAGGAAAGTTTAAAGTACTAAGTACACATAAAAATAACTTCTCAAACCAGAAATGTAACCTTTCACTGCAACTAGCTAGAGAAAAGAACAAAATAAACCCCAAACTAGGAAAAGAGCACAAGCAATAAAGACAAGGCAGGAATCAAAGAAATATGAAATGAAAAACAATCAATTCAGTGAAACCAAGTGTGGTTCTTTAATAAAACCAATAAAACGATAAACCTATAGCCAGATTGATAGTAAAAGATGGAGAAGTCCAGGTGTGGGGGCCAGGTATGTGGGAGGCAGACGCAGGAGGATTACCATCGTCTGAGGCCAGCTTGGGCTACATAGTGAGTTCAAGGCCAGCTGAACCCTGTCTCAAAAAATACATAAATAAAAAATAAAAGAAGGAAGAAACGTATTGCCAACACCAGTAAGAGGGAGAGGAGGCTTTACAGATGTCAGAAGGAGGTGGAGCTGTGACCTGGTGGTGTCGCCTAGTATGCACAAGGCCTTTGCTTTGATCCCCCAGGACCATAAAAATCAGAGCAAAAACACAACAAGACTTCAGAAAGTAACAGAAGCACACTATGAACAGCTCTGTGTACATAAATTCAACAATTTAAATGAAATGGACCGATTTCTTAAAAGTTACAGACTGTCAAAATTAAATAAAAAAGAAATAGACTATCTAAATAGCCCTCTATCTATTTCAGAAGTTGAATTTATAGTTTTCAAGGTTATAAGAAGGTTATAGAAAACCTTCTTTAAAAAAGCCACACTCTAAATGCTGATGGTTTTACTGGTGATTTGGCTAAATACGGAAAGGAAAACTAACAGCAGTTTTTCACAAATTCTTCTAGAAAATAGAAAACAAGAGAATACTTCCAAGCTCATTGGAGGAGGCCAATCCTCCTCTCACATCAAAACCAAACTAAGGCAAGTACTAGAAAAAGTAAAGCACAGACCAAGGTCCTCGTGTATATGGACCCCAAACCCTCACCAAAATAGTAGCAAATTGAATGCAGCACTATATAAAAAAGATAATACATTCAGTCCCGTGGATGCTCTGCCGAGAGGGCAGACAAGAACCCAGAAAGCGTCTGCAAGGTGGCCGCACAGCCTGGAGAGCCCATGGCGTAGGTAAGAAACAAGCCGGCTCCTGGAGAACTTTCTTTTGGATGGAGGCTCAGTGATTTTGTTTTATACTGACTTTAAGCTAATTAAGTGAGACTTACTCACAGGATAAAGGGCAGACTGCTGGGCCCAAAGTTCACTGATTTAAATGTTAATCTCATCCCGAAACACCCTCCAAGTTGACAAGTAAAATTAACTGTCACGAGTTCACTCCTTGTCATCTTGGCAACCATGTGCTTTGCCTCAGGAAATGCTCATCCTGGGCACAACTGACACCTTCCCAGAAGAGGATGCAGCGTCCCTGGATGACGTCCACTCCTCCTTGACAACCCATAACCTAGATGCTGGGACGGAAAGTAGGTGGTATTTTAGAACGATGCTACTGAGTCAGTGGATCTCCTGTCACATGATGGGGAGGGAAGAAAGTTTCTGTAACGGTTACAGCTGACACTGTCACCTCCATCTTCCACTTCTGCCTTCAACAAATAACTCAGTTTTACCTGATAGGTTGACCCATATCTTCATTTAAGTCTATGCCAGTGGTGCAAATCATTTAGCATTTCCATTGATAGCAAATAGCCAGCTATAGCACGCATGTCAGAGGTTCGCCATCACTGGTCTATGCCAGTGTTAGTCTTGCCTGGACTGGGTTATTCTACTTTTCCATTGACTCGAATCATAATCTTGGTAATACTAAAGGATGCTCTTGAGAATCTCTTATATTTTGGATATATCTTTCCTTACCTCTATGGGACAGTAGTAATCTACTGTAGTAGTCCACAGTAGAGTAGCTCTTTGGTAGTCTGGTGTTAGCATTTTGTCGCTATGACAAAATACCTGAGAATAACAATTGAAAGAAAGAAAGAAAGAAAGGTTTATTTTGGGTTATAGTTTCAGTCCATGGTCAGCGGTCTCCATTGTTATTAGGTCTATAGTGAGACAGAAACGTTCTGCAGGATGATGTGACAGAGGAATGCCACTCACCTCATGACAGTCAGAAAACAGAGAAAAGGAAAGATCTATAGAGGAGGGGGCTAGAAGCAAGACACCGCCTTCACAGGAACGCCCCAGCTGACCTGTGTTCTCCAGCTGGGCCCCGCCACCCAGCAGCCCATTTGGCTATGGACTCAACAGTCCACTGATGAGCTTTGCACCCTTACAATCCTGTCACCTCCCGAGGTCCAACCTCTGTACGTGGCTGCATTGGGGGTCAAGCCCTCAATACCTGAGTCTTTGGAGAACACTTTATAGTAAATCATGACATCCAGAAAGGCCCCCCGACACCAGTCATTCTTGTCTTTGATTCTTGGTTCAAAAGCATACACGATCCAAAATAGTCAGTTGGCAACTTTAAAAGCCAGTTCCATGGGGTCAGGGCTGTGTCTCTCGCTAGGAGCACTCATCCATTTGGAACTAGGCTCTCCAGGTCAGGTCAGTTTAAGGTGAAGAAAGCATAAAGCGAGAATTCTGTGAGAGGATGATTAGTGTCTTTCTCATTTACGCCCTTGACTCCTGGGCCCGTGAGTCCTGGCTATGGGCAAATATACTATACATTAGACGCCAATTAGAGTATACGCAGCCCGATAGAGAATTTTGCACCAGCTCTGTCAGGGGATGTCCCCTAGGTTAGCAGTGTAACTGAGTTTTCAAAAGTCCATTTCACCCTTCTGGCAAACCAGCTGCTTCAGGGTAGTGAAAAACTTGGCAATGCCAATGATTTCTGTCATCATAGGCCCACTGTAACAATTCATTGGTGTGAAGTGAATCCTTTGAACAGGTGCTGTACTGTGTGGGACACCATGACGGTGCACACAGCACTCTGGAAGCCCACGGATGGTAACTTTGGCTGAAGTAGTATGTGTAGGGAAGACACTGTATTCATAATGTCTATTCCAGTAAGAACAAAAGGCCTCTCCTTTCATGATGGAAATTGTTTAACGTACTCAACCTGCTACCAGGTAGCTGGCTGATTACCCCAGAGGATGGTGCCATATTGGGAACTGTCTTGGGGGCATTCCCTAAGTTTCCCTAGGCGATGCAACATTCATCTCTTCTGACTGTGAGGGAGACATTTCTTGTGCTGGGGGCAGTCTACTTCTACTAACAAAATATTGCTTCAGAATTTAGGGGTTGTTATGGATTAAACTCTGATGGTCAACTTAATGAACTTAATGCCAGCTGAATTAAGTCAGCATGATGCTGAGCATAGATGTCCTACCTGAAGAAAGTTGCCAGCATAAATTAAGACTTGGAGAAGACGAGTGAGGCGTTGTGGGTTCTCCTACATGTTGCTGTTTGAGCCGTTGGTTCTTCTGGAGAAGCTCAGGTCTTTACATCAAGCACTGCCTCCTGGCTCCAGAGGGGAAGACGTGTGCCGCTTAATCTCCAGGATGAACTCATCACGCTGGCTTCCTGGCATGTGCCCGACTGTGCTTATCATCGGAGGAACTCGAGACCTCCATGTCACTGAGGAAGGCTGTGGTGCTTTTCAGGATAGCCCTGGTCTTTGTTTTGGGCATAACTTCTCCACTCCAGCGTAGAGCCCTCCATCTACCAGCACAGCTCCTTCACCCCGCTGGCATAGGCTTTCTAGCTTCCACTGCTGACCTTCGGCCCTTCCAAGCACACATCCATAGAGAGACTGGCATCCTTCTCGTGGGTGCTAGATTGCCTTTTTGGACTCATGGGAGGCACTGTCAATGGGCTCTATATTCTCATCTGGACTCATGTGGGACATTGCTGTGGGATTCAGGCCCTGGGCTAAATATCCTGTCTTTAATGTTGTAGATAGATTTTCTGCACTTTGTGTTAACTCTGGGTGACCATCATAAAATAATAATATAAATTCCATGCCCTGATTCTAATTGTTCTCCTCACAATCCTGACTACAACAGGGGTTTAATGTCCCTTACTTCAGCAATGTTTTTTACACACGCTATTTTAACTTTCAGGATCTCATTACTTCCCAATCCTATTTTAACTTTCAAGATCACTTCTTTCCTAGCAGTTGATATTCTACAAACTGGAAATTCAACTCGCATTTAAGTTAACCATAAAAGTTAACCATAAATTGCAACATAAAATTTTGGGCTCAGTTTTTAGCAATCTCAGCTACTTAGCCATACAAGATAAGGCTGTCTTTCAGGGTAAACACAGAAGTCTTTAGGTCATTAATTTGGCATTTGAGCTGAAAACTGAAATCCCTGAGTTTACCCTTGTCTTTTCCTACATTGTTCAGTAACATTGGGGCAAACAGCTAATCTCATTGTACTCAATATTAAGAAAAATGTTGGAAATGTCATGTACACTAGAGTATCCAATGTGTGTCCCACAGGCCACCTGAAGTCTTTTTTTTTTTATTTTTAAAAATCAAAACAAAAAAAGGATATAAATAATGCAGAATTTTAAAAAACGATAAGAAATCAACCCTAGTTAATATATTGCATACTGTTATTTTAGAAATTATTGTTCAGGTTACAAGATATAAGCATAAAAATGACCAAATAAACAATGACAGCACAAAGTGATCTTTCTGATGAACTAACAGAGAATTAGTAGTATAGTTATCCGTCTTGCACTTATACAGTTACATGTGTAGACCTACATACATAAAATCTTTGTCTTTCTTCTATTTCTCCTATCCCACTTGTTCTTTGTCTTTCATTATTACAATATCTATTGTATATTTTGTATCTTATTACTATTTCAGTTTTTTATTATTATTATTTATTTTTACACTAGGGAGACAATACGGGGTTTACAAATGTGAATCTGATTTATTTCACTTACGAGTATGGTCTCAAATTGCCTCCATTTACTTCTAAAAGCCTCAATATTATCCTTTTTATAGCTGAGTAATATTCCGTTGTATAAAAATACCACATCTTTTTCATCCACTCTGCAGTTGATGGGCATTTTGGTTATTTCCAGTATTTAGCTATTACAAATTGTGCTGCTATAAGCATGGGTGCACATATATTACTGTGACATGACCTTTTCAATTTTTCTGGGAAAATACCCAGAAGGGGAATAGCTGGATTGAATGGGACTTCCAATTCTAGTTTTTTGAGGAATCTCACACTGACCTCCACAGTGACCACACCACTGTACACTCCCACCAACAGTGGAGAACATCTCCACTCCTTTCCACCAGCCCCACCAACTGGTAACTGATTGTTATCAGTTCATTTCTTGACGGCAGTCATTCTTTCTGGAGTGAGATGGAAATCTCGATGTTGTTTTAATTTGCATTTCTCAAATGACCAGTGATGGTGAACATTTCTTCATGTATTTATTTTCCATTTATATTTCTTCATCTGAAAAGTGCGTGTTCATCTCAGAGGCCCATTTTTGGAGAGAGTCTTTGAATTTGGGGGCCTGATTTTTTCAATTCCTTATATGCTCTTGATATAAGTCCTTTGCCTCTTGAGGGACTTTTTAGGGTCTTCTATATAGAGTATCATGTCATCAGCAAACAATGATAATTTAACTTCTTCCTTTCGTTTCCTTATTCATTTTATTTCTCTCTCTTGTCTAATTGCTAATATTTCCAGAACTATATTAAATAGAAGTGGTGGCAGTGGACATCCTTGTGTTATTCCTGATTTTAGAATAAAAGCTTTCAGTATTTGTCCATTTAGTATTATGTTAGTTATTGGTTTGTCATAGATGGTTTTTATCAGACTGAGGTAGATACCATCAATTCCAAGTTTCTGTAGAGTTTTTATCATGAACAAGTGTTGGACTTTATCAAAAGCTTTTTCTACATCTATTGAGATGATCATCTGATTTTTGTCTTTGGCTCTGTTGTTTGCAGTTATGATTTGCATATGTTAAACCATCCCTGCATTCCGGGATAAAACCCACTTGGTCGTGATGTATAATCTTCTTAATAATTTGCTGCATTCTATTTGCCAGTATTTTACTGAGAATTTTGCATCAATATTCATTAGTGAAATTGGGCTAGTCAAATTGGTTGTGTCTTCCTCTGGTTTGATATTAGAGTAATGCTTGCCTCCAGGAATGAATTAGGGAGTAGTTTCCCTTTCAGTTTCATTGAAAAGTTTGAGGAGTATTGGTGAAATATTCTCTAAATTTCTTATAGAATTCAACAGTAAATCCATTAAGACCTGGGCTTTTCTTTGTTGGTAAGTTTTTTTAAATCATGTTTTCAATATCAGTAGCTGATACTGGGTTATTCAAAATTATTACGTCATTTTGATTCAGCTTTGTTCATACAGTGTTTCTAGGAATTTGTCCATTTCCTCGGTGTTTTCATAGGGTGTCCATTTCTACCCTAGATGGGTATAGATTTTCAAAGTAGGTATTCATGATCTAATCAGTTTCCATGGCGTCTGTACTAATTTAACCCTTTTAATTCCTTATTGCATAAATTTGAGTTTTTTCTTTCTTTTCCTTTATAAAGTTGGCCAGGGGCTTATCAATTTCATTTATTCTTTCAAAGAACCCACTCCTTGATTCATTAATTCTTTGTATTATTTTGTTAGTCTCAATTACATTCATTTCTGCTCAGATCTTCATAATTTCTTCTCTTCTACATGCTTTGAGCTTGACTTGTTCTTTTTCTAGAAACTTGAGGTATAACATTAGGTTGTTTGTGCTCGTTCTGTTTTTCTGATGCAGCAATTCATTGCTATGTATTTCCCTCTTAGCACTGCTTTCAATGTATCCCACAAGCTTTGAGATGTTGTATCTCCATTTTCACTGAATTTTAGGTATTGTTTAATTTTTTCTTTAATTTTGTCTGTAACACATTGGTTGTTCAGGAAGTTGTTATTTAATTCTCATGTGTTTGTGTAGGCTTTTCTTTAGCCATTAATTTCCAATTTCAAAGCACTATGATCAGATAAAATACATGATTGAAATCATTCAATCCCTTTGCTTTTACTTAAGCATGTTCTATGGGTGAATAGAAGGTCTATGTCAGAGAATGTCCCATGTGCAGCTGAGAAGAATGTGTATTCCGATGTGCTTGGTGGAACATTCTGTAAACATCTACTAAGTCCATTTGTGCACAAGTTTGATTCTGTTCTTTCTTTACCAACTTTGTCTAGTTGATCATCTCTTGGTGACAATGGGGTATAAAGGTCTCCTGTTACAATTGTGTTATTGCATATTTGGTTTTTCATGTCTAACAGTATTTGTCTTATATAGTTGTGTGCTCTTGTATTTGGTGCATATGTATTTATGATTGTCAGCTCTTCTTCTTGAACTTTTCACCTAACAAGTATGTAGTGATCTTCTTTTGATCATTTTTAGTTTGAAGTTCACGTTGTCTGCAAACAGAATAGCTACCCCTGCTTTTTTCACATGTGGTCTTGAAGAGATAACACTGTGACTGGACACGAGCATAAAGTTTTAACACTATGATGTGACTGTTAGTGATCTACATATAGTCTTTCTTGGTACCAAGAATTGAACCAAGGGCTTTGTGCATGCTAGGCAAGTGCTGTACCACTAAGCTACACCCCAGCCACATAGAAATACTTTGTACAATTGCATGGTGCTTAAGTACAAGCTGCATAGGCCACAATGGGATGCTGTGTATGGCAAGGCTCAGAGCAGTGCTAATTCCGTGTCTATGCCAGCCACATAGTCAGTCAGATTGAAACCCGCTTGTATCAGATGTTACCTACTCTGGTTCAACTGGACAAATAAAACACAGCAACTACCAATGCCAGTAGTTCAACCTGCCTACACGTGTGTGCTTATAAAGATAAGTGTTTATTGCTATTAAGCAGACATGCAAATTTTCTTATTTAATTATTAAACTTGGGCTTACTGTATTATTTTGCAAAAAATTTATGTTTTACTATTTATATATTAACTATGTCATATATCTTATGTGCAGCCCTAGACAATTCCTCTTCATTCGATGTGGCCCAGGCAAGCCAGAAAAATAGATACCCATGATATACACAGTTACTCAGATCCTAGCTTCTTCAAAGTGTTTTACTAAGTAGCTAACATTTTGTACATCGTTATTACCAGATAATTAGTCCTATGAATTATCGCTGCTTTCTTTACTGCCAGAAAACAAGTTGCTTGGGTCATTTTATGGAAAACCTAGAAACAGTTCAGAAAACTCATCCTTAGTATTCTGTTTCTTCAGAGCCACACTTTACACCAAAATCTGTGTTCATCAGGGTTCTCCAAAGAAACAGAAGCAAAAGGAGCAGATGCTTCTTGATGTGCAATGTGCTCACACCCTGAAAGAGAACCCACTGTAAATTTAAAACATTGTATGTGCATTTAATGCATGTATCCTACTAAACACTGCAGCTTAGCAGCACAGTGGTATTCCATCATTATGTGTATTAGTTTCTCCAGTGCTCGTAGGCTAACTTGAAACCATTATTTCACAGGATCTACTACTGCTCAATATCGGAAGACAGTGCCAAGCCCTATATGGTTAGCTCAGGAAAAGATCAAAACTCAGAGCATGGTTTCTTTTTTGTACCATCATAAATTCAAAGCATCAGAAGTTGGAGACCATCTGTGCATATTTTATGTGTAATATATATAAGAGGATTTGCTGTTCAGGTATTGTCTCATGAGATTATGGAGGTTGGGGAGCACAAGATCTGCTCAAAACACAGGAGAGCTAATGGTGCAATTGTGGTCCAAAGGTCAGAGGCGAGACCCAGCGAAGCACATGGCCCAAGAGTCTGGGACAGTCTTCTAGGGATTTGCTCTTTCTCATAGAGGCTAATGTTTTTATTTTATTGTGGGTTTCAACTGATTGGAAGAGGCCCACCCATCGTATTTAGGAAGAACTGCTTGACCCCAAATTTACTGATTTCAGTGTCAATCTCATTCCCAAACAATCT